GATCGGTCGTGTTCGCGATAAAAATGCAGGAAACCAGAAAGATTAAGGGCGAAAGATTCACGATCGATCAGTTCTGACACAAACGACCTTCAGCGAAATCAGATTCGATTTAATCCTGGATTACCATTCGCGTTGAAAAGGAGATTCCTCGGGCACTGAGCCATCGAAATGAAGGTTTTTAACACGTAGTCCGGATTCAGGTACCGACGAATAATGTGTCATTATTACCAGCTGTAAAATTAAATTCGAACGCACGGAGTTAGCTGTAATACTTTAAATGAAGAAAGAGATCCTAGTTCGGATAAATTTGATATGTACCAGATGATCTCGCGTCGTTTCAATTTCTCAATGCAAATTTTAACCACGTATCTCGTTTAAATACGCAATTATGCTTTGAAATTTATGTCGATGTCTCGTACAGTAGGACCTCGATTATCGGAACTACCATCTGGCCATGTCTCTAATAATCTATCCTTTCAATCTTTCTGAGGTTACAAAATTACAAAATTTTTTTCATAAATCAGTAATTCCACGGTATCACTCTCCCGTCTAATGATTATTCTCATCACCATGAGTGAGAACACTTCTAAATGCACAATGTAAATCCATTACACTGAAATATTGATTCATTAATATTTTAGAATTGAATTCCTCCGATATTCTCTTCGTCACATATTTCTAACGACGACATTAAAAAATGATAACTTGATTGAGAGATATATGCTGAGAATATTTCTTGGATAGTCCAACATTCCGAGAATCGAGGCTCTACTGAAACAATAATTAATTCCCAACTGATACAACGTGCTTCTGCGTTCACCCCTGTATCGTAACAATGTCATCATCGTGATTGCACGCAGACTGAATCGCAGATTCTCCAGTGCTACGATCATCGTATTTCGGCGTTGCGAATCGTCCCGTCGAAAATATCAGAACGTATAAAGCGCGAAAGTTGATATCGTCGTCGCACGTGCTCATCGAGACGTTCTATTTTCGACGGCTGCACAGGTCAGCTACGAATTCCTCGGTAACACGTACTCGTTTCGGGAACTTCATTTCGATTTTTCGACCGTTTTTTTACCCTTCGCCTCCATTAGAATCGGTATCAGAATCGTTATCGCCGACAGGCTGAAACAAATTTATCTAACAGTGAATTGTTCGCTGCGGAAGGGAAGAACGTTGGAGCGAACGAAATATTCGTTCTCCGGATATCGTACGAGGGGATGAGACATTTCGCAGAGGCGAGGCTCGTTTCGTTTGATTCGTCGTAAAAGAAATGCGATGATGAAAGACGCGCGACGCGATCTTCCCGAGTACCGACGCGATAAAACCGAACGTAACTCTCGTTGTTGTTTCGCGCGAGTTCTCTCAACGGCGTAAGCTGGATCAATCTTTTTAGATCTATCGGGAATTGTCGGACGCTAATCTATGCATTTCTGGATAGATTGAACTTAAGGACACGTAAAATATAAAAAGTGAGATAATTTTTACAAAGTTTAATAGCGGAAAGAAGACCCTGTTTCTTCGGTCGTGTTCAAAAAAAATTTCACGAACATATTTCTTGACAATGATGCAGTGTGTGTCACGAAAGATTGCTGCAATAATTGACCAACGTTGGTACTCTTTCACAGCTTTTAGATTGCAAACGAAAACGTCTCATTCCACGAGTGTGAAAGAGAAAGGTTCCAGAAGAAAAAACTGTAGAACAAATGAGAAATGAGTATGTTACGTGCACGATTATGTTAACGGCTACTGAAGACAGTTTTTCCTAAACTCGCCCGTAAGAAACGTGTTAATTGTCAGTTTCTGTTCTTTGTAATCGAATTTTGAAAAAACGAATCGAAAGCAATTAAATTTTCTTATTCTCATCTTTCGGAACCAACGACGAATAGTTGGGAAAATTATGATTTCGTACAAGGAGTCTGAACTTGCAAGTCGAAATGCGTTACGGGAAATTAATTCTGCAAGCAAGTCTGGCTCGCGTCGGACGGCTGACACAACTCGGGGCAGTTCTACTTGTATTCATTTACCTTGTTAACGTAAGGTTGGATCGAGATTGCACGATCGTTTTTGCACGCGTACACGAGACTAATCAATTTTCGATTAGTAACACCGACAATTGCGGTAGAAACACAACGCGCGAACGTTTCTTGCGTGATGTTCGTGTCAGACACGTATACAGAGACATCCGGTAACCTGACGAGATAAATTACTGTTGCAAATAAATTATTATCGCAGCAGACTATTCGTTATCATCGTTGTCCAATTGCTTTACCGTCGAGCTTAATTAAATGTTATTCTCATCATCACGAGTTCGAAGATTCTTATTACCTTTGTTGCAAAAGGCGATGAAACGGAATTTTCGTACTTCGTAAGAAGCTCGACGGTAACTAAAAGAGCCTTTGTCTTTAAACGCCGATTCTGCCCGCTGTTCCCGCGAAGTCGTTATCGCGAGAGACGAAGTTAAATTCGCCCGACGAAGTACGGCAGGATTTGTGCAAACGTCAAACGCCAAGGTTTATCCCCAGCCGCGCCAGTGGACAATGATGAAACAATAGACAGGCATTCAAGACAAAACAAACTTAACGCGCG